AAACAGTCTTCCCAGCCAGGTGGTTGAGCTCCAAACTCTTGGCTTGAGAAATGGCTGGAAGGAATCTTATATTAACTTTACTATTAAATTACCATATCTGTTCCTAAACCACCCACAGGGAAAATCAGGCCAACTGTCTTAGCCACTTTCCCAGGTAAATAACACAATGGTCTAAAATACAGCAGATTTCCTATGAGCCAAATGCACAATCTTATAAACCTTGCATATTAGCATTTTTGCCTTTGTGGTCCTTTTCTTATTCCATTTTTAAAATTATTATGCCTTTTGCTACAAAAAGTATATCTTCAGAGCAAAGTTTACAAAGACTGCTCATCTACGTCTTACAGAAACAGTTCACGCAACTGCCATAGCACTGAAATTTAGTTCTTAATACAGCTTCATTAGCCATTGATCACTAGCCCAGATTACCCTTAACCAGTTTCCCAGCATTCTGGAAGACTTCTCACAATGGACTATATTGTGGCTTTGACGACCAGTTTTAGACCCCCTGTATCCCATCATCCCCCACCCACCTCCGCCGCTCTGCTCTCTTCAACAAACTCTACAGCCTCTGGTCCATCTGCACTTCCTCCTTCTTCCAGAACAGCACATTCTGTTGGACAAGAGAACATGGATCAGTGATCCCCTATACTGGGAATCTTTCTTAGGCGATAATTCTAATGGACGAAAGCATCATTCCACTGGATTGGCTTCTACCACTAACACTGCTCCCGATGTCCCAATGTTCATGGCTGGTTCGGACGACATACAAACCCACAGATATTGAGCCATGCCAGAAATACTGTAAACGTTACGCGAGTATAATTTTTTTGCAGCGTTGCTCTCTTTTAAAACTATTGTATTAAGCAATTAATCATTTCTGACTTATGACGTAATGGTAACATAAGTGAATTTTACAACACTCTGCACAGTACAGAAACCACACACCTCCAGGCTCTGTGTCTTCCACTGTACTTTTATAATCTGCGGTCAGCGTTTCAGCAGAAGCAGCAGCAGTCCCTATATCCTCTTCAGATCTGTAAAGGAAATGCAACCT